GTTATATGCATAAGAGACCCCAGCACAGTTTGACTTAGCTGATAAAAATGAAAGGTTGGCATATGCAGAGCTGATAGCGATAAAATTTGCTTTAAAACTTGTTCTCTAGAGTAAAGCTGACATCTCCCATGAGGTTCAGAAGGGAATGTCAACTCCTTTCTCTCCTCATGCGCTCCTATCTCCTCCAACTGAGCCATCAGACGTGCAAACAGGAGGACATGACCCCTGTGCAAGCCCATGGTAGAGGAGAGCAGGGAATTCCACCTTCCACCTGGAAGTACACGTGCCCCTGACAGGAGCCATGGCTTTCTGCGGGGTAGGACAGAGATGGCAAACCTTGGAGGAACAAAGGGCCACAGTCCAAAGCAGTGTAATGTGATAGCTGTGAACCCGCGCCCGGCGCTGAGGCTCCGCAGGAAATCTCTGCATGCCTCCCTCACTCTGGACCCCATCGTCTCTGGAGTTGGGCGTAATGAGGCCATCCACGATCACGCCGTGCCCTGCTGTCTGGTGTGGTTAATACAGTTATCCAAACTCCACTCATAGGACCTTCTGCTTTCCATCTGACCTCACACACGGCGCAATTGCACCCCCCTGGAAGGCAAAAAACGGCTTGAAGAATCAGCAGAACACTTAACTGACCTCGTCAAGTTTTCAAGCGAAGGATAAGGATAGGAAAGAATTTCTTTCATCCACGGGTCTGTGATCCTAAATAACAATCTAAAGGAAAATAGATCCTACTTGAGTTCCAGGGCCATGATAAAAAATGTCAGGGTAGCCCCGCAGCCTGTGATTCAGGGAACTTTATCCCTTTTTTTTTTTTTTTTTTTTGGAAGGGGGAGATTTATCCTTTAAGGGCAGGACAGATTTTGAATCCCAGACTGGCTGGCTTCAAAAACATGCTGGGCGCAAGTGCATGTATGCCCGAAATGAAGGTGAAGAGACTGCAGCGTGACCACACCCCATTGTGGTGGTGGTGTTGGGGAATTCTCCCTCCCCCATCTCTCTGTCTCTTTGTCTCCCTCTGATAGGTGCACATGCCCTCTGGCAATCAAAAATAAAACAAAATCAAGGACCAGCAGTTAGCGTAATGGCTATGTCACTGGACTCCCACGTAGTCGACCGCGGTTCGTGTCCTGGACCCGGTGGCTTAGAACTCACACCGGGCGCGGGTGCGTGTGTGCCCAAGATCCTGAGAGGAGAATGGAGGAGAAGGGATTGTGGCGTAGCCATCCCCCCCTCGGGGGTGATTTCTTGCTTTCTGTCTCTCTGTCTCTCTCTGTCTGGCGAGCGCACACGCCCTATAGCAAAAACCTCTCCCCAAAAAAAGAAATCAAAATCCTAATTTTTGACCCACACTTCTCTTAACTGTTATTTCATCTGGTAAACCCAGTCTTTCTCTTGGCCCCGCACAGGAACGTGGAGCAGGCTGGCCCATGTGCGAGTGCACGAGCTTGCGTTTCCCATCACGTGTTGGTTGAAGGTATCACAGTGCCCGGCCGCTCAAGGGAAAAGGGGACAGAGTGAAAACCGAGATCCCACAAATGGCTTTGTACTTTCTCATCAGTTAATCCTATGATTTTAAAAGAGTGTTTGTTCCAAGTAATGCATTTATGTAACTCCATCATAAAATAGAGCCTTATGGAATCCAGGTATGGCAGAAAGAAAATTAAAAGAAGCTACTATTGTACATTTTAGACAACAGCTTAACGTATGTGTGCAGCCTTGATTAATTAAAAGCAAATGTGTCCTTCTTTCAGAGCTTAAAATTTTTTAAAAAATCTATCCTACATGAGTTCCAGAGAATACGGAGTAGCTGCCCTTTCTTTGTGGTATGTAACTCCTGCTTCTATTCTGGGCATTCTCATCAGTTAACGACCACACTGTCACATATGGCTGTCTTTCTACCTACTGCCATGCAGGAGTAAGTACCTATTGATTTTTGCGAGTGGGGCCTGGGGTGTTTTTAGGTCAGCCACGTTTTATCTGAGAGGTCAGAGAGGCAATGCAGCTGTGGTCTGGGCACCCACAGGAGGAAGGTGACAGCACGCTGCTATGGAGCCAGGCACGAAGAAAAACTACAATTAGCTGCTTCTGCTTTTCTGCAGAATCTGCATTTGCATTTTAAATTACATTTTGGTGTATTCATTTTCATCTTTCTTTTGGCTTTTAAAGCTGGAACAGAGACTCCTGACAAAAACACTGCCTAAGATTGGCATTTATTAGGGGGAAAAAAACACGTCCACATGATATTTTTTTTTCTAAAATATTCCTTCGAGATTAGTTATTTCAGAAAGTCATGTTGACAGGCAGATGGAGAGAAAGATGCAAGATGGTTTCAGAGATTCTAGGAATCTCAACGCCTGGATTTCCATGTTAACATTTCAATTCCCTGCTAGTCGGCGAGCTGCTCCAGCTCACTGTACTAAAATGCACTACCGTACTGTAGACAAGACTTGCCCTCCTGGTTCACCTGACAATTACATCGTTTATCATGCCAATAAGTTTACTGAAATAGAACCAAATCAAATTTCTTGTCTCTTAAGTCCCTGTAGAGATGCATTCTCCACAAATGCATTCGGCTCTCTGTTATCTCTTCCCTCGAGTAACCTAAATACTATTGATTAGCAATAGCCTTCTGGCTAAGGGGCCACTGGTATGAAAACATCAGGCAAGACAAGAATATACCTGAACTGGGTTGTGAGCTTACTCTTCCTACTCTGAAAGGGGCCAGTGCTTTCTCATGAAATGATTAATACCCTTGATGGTCTCATGGACTCCTTGTTCAATGACTATGGATGGGTAAACCAAAAAAACCCTCAACTTTTCATTTAATTACTAAAGGACAGATGCTTAACATCCCTGAAGACTGAGCTGGTCTAGGTCTGAGGACATCTGGTCCATATGCTGCTAGCGCTCCGTGGCTGCAGTAATTTCTTGAGGTACGATAATAATGAAACTCGAGGTTTGAAACCCTTTTAGATGCACTTGTATGTATATATTGAATACAAGGTATTAGGGAGACATTTGTGAAAACACAGATAAGACCCCTGGTCTCAAAAGTTTACGTTGTAGTTATCAAAACAAGTAAGTAGGGAAGGAATAAATAAATAGAAACATTTCAGGTGGCTCTACGTGCTATAAAAAAAACTGAAGCACAGTGATAAACTAGCATGATCTGGGGGAGGCGAGACTAATTCAAACCAGGTGAGCTGGAAATGTGATACCTGAGCTCCTTGACAAGCAGGCACAACCATGGAAAGATTGGGGGCAGAGTCTGTGCAGAGTTCAGCTTGTGCCAGACGAGGCGCTGGCCCAGGAGTAAGCTGGGCATGTTCAGAGAAGCCAGCCTCGGTGGAGGGCAGAGCAGAGCGAGGGCACAGCAGGGTGAACTCTGAAACAGAGCAGAGACCACATTGTTAGACATGGAGCCTATGGAACTGTTCTGTGATGTAACTACTCCCCGTCCAAACGCAGTGGCATAAAACAAACATCATATTCTGCCCACAATTTAGAAGAGAGGCCTACAGAGGGGCAGGCTCAAGTTCACATGTCATCTGGAGCAGCGGAAGTGGAAAGCAGCCCATGTGACTTCACTCTGTCCACTGCCTCAGTGCTCTGCGGCCTCTCCTTGTGGCTTCTCTCCTCACAAACTGACAGTGTGGTTGGTTCACGGTAGTTAGACTTCCCACGTGAAGGTCGACTTCCCCCAGGTCAACTTGATCCCAGCTCCAAGCCTTCTTGGAAGTCTCAGAAGATTGCATCTGCCTTTCTGCCAGTTTCTGTCATCAAACAAGGCACCAGGGCCATCCCAGGTTCATCGGCAGGACAATCAGAACCTTCTTCCTATGGGCAGCCCATCAGAGCACATGCGGCCATCTTGAATCTGCCACAGGAGCCATGGTGGGAATTCTACATTTTTTTTCTGAATATTATAGAAGACACTTTCAAACACGGACATGGCATAATTTTATTTTTGTTTTTAAAAGAGCATTTTGGCTACTAGAGAATAAGCTATAAGAGGATAAGTGAAAAAGCAGGTGACTAGTGAGAGGCTATTACAGCTGACCAGGTGGCCTGTAACGGAACAGTAGCAGTGGAGAATAAGAAGTCTGTAAATATAATCCATCATGAAGGACTTCTAGTTGGACATGCTTGGGGAGAAGAAGAGTGGGATGCCTCCAACGATTTTACTGAGGGGTTGGAAGGATGGTGACACTGTTACTAAGAGAGAAGAAAGGGTAAAACTATTGATGTATCTCATATATTTATCCCAATCACTCTTTATGGTAGCTATGTAGTAGGCCTTGTTACCTACAATCTACAGAAATGAAAGAAGGGAGAGACCTGTGAGAAGAGGGAGCAAGAGCTAAAAAGAGGAAATGAAGTTAAATATTCCTGAAACACTTCACCAGATAAGGGACAACTGGTCTAGCATTAATCCTGCTGTCCAGTCAACACATCTTCCATAGCATAGTGAACTGCTGTTTATTGGTCTAGCAAGTTGAGTTTTAAATTATTAATATCTGTTTATTATTTTAAACCTACTCAAAGAATGTTTCTCACTGGGCAAAAGAGGGGCAATGAAGACTGTAACAAGTTTTATTCTTAGTAATTGCTAATTTAACAGTGAAGGGGCAAGACTTTTCAACGTTTTCAACATATAGAGCAAATCGATTTTGATTTTGTGTCTGTTATATGTATCACCTCCTTTCAATAGACTTACATTTTTAAGTGAATAGCGGGGAAGGATGGCCTCATGGAAAGGTCCTGGAAGATCTGATTTGATGCCTTTGACTTAAATGACCTTATGAAAAGTTCTTAAACTCTCTGCTTCCATGTCCTCATCATCAAACTATTATTATTTTTATGAACCATGTCATGAGCATATAGTAAAGAAAATTTTGGTGGGGAGGGAGTTTTTATAAACTTCAAGAAAATGCAGATCCTTTGTTGTTATGAGTTTTCCAACATTAGTCTCACGTTTGAATTTATTGCAGTCCCAGTCTCTTACTACGTTTTTGAAAAGAGACCTAGCGCCCTACGGTATCAGGCTCCGGTTGAAGCTGCCCTGTACCAGCCCCACGAAGCCACATTAACAGCATGCAGTACTTAACAGAACCGTGCCGAAGTCATCATCAGAATACAACCCACAACATGGTAAGAAAACAAGGCTCCATGAAAATCTTAGTCACCAAAACTGTCCAGGAGCTTTATTAAAATAGCGTAACTATTCGGTGAATTTTCCTAACCAGTGATCATTATTTTTATTTCCAGCTTCTGGGAGCCCTGCTCTTTGCTGAGGGCCTGAGGCATTGCCCACCAGCACACGCACAGCCTCAGATACCATCCTCCCGCTCCCGCTTTTCCCACTGCTCCCTTACCCACGTCTCAGCACTGACTGGGCCTGCTTCTGTCCTGGGGAGGTACAGGACGAGACAGAGCTGTCTGAGTAATCATTCGAGGTTGCAGTCTGAATTGGCTTTTTCTCAGCAGAAACATCAACCATATCTACTTCCTTTGTCAAATAGTTTTCTGTGGATCTCAAAATTGTGTCGTATTCAGATGAAGACGGAGCTACCTCAAAGTAGGAAAAATCGCCATTTCTTTCTTTCTTGTTTTGCGAACCATAACTGATGTAGAAATGCTTAGCTAAAGGCAGGTTGAGAAAACTGCAGAATATCTAAATAAACTTTCTGATTAATCCAAGATTTAGTTGAAATTTCTGAAAAGTTGCAGCCAAAAGACCTTTGGATTTTAATGCAACCAAGATTTAGTTAATCATTCCACCTGTGTCATTGTTCTTAAAATCTTAAACGAAATAGTCAACATTCCAAAGCATAAAATCCCAAGTGCATTCCCTTTCCCCTTGCAAATACGTCTCTTTCATGGACATCACTCATTTCAGGTAGAACCCTCATTCCCTGCACCGGCCTGGGAGTCAGCCCTCTGAGACACTTGCATTGTCTCCCGACCATTCTGGGGACCATGGCTGCTCCTTTCACATCCACTAAATAATTCTACATGGTCCCCTTGCATATTACAATTCTGAAATAAAATTTTAATGCATCCCATTGTGCTAAACACTCTCTCAGTGTAGTTACTGACTAGTGAACAGCTCAAAGTCCTGAATCTGGAGTCGGACAACGGCTCAGCAATAAAAGGTCCTCTGTGGAAGGGTCTCTGCTCATGTCCAAAGACCTCGCTGAGCTCACCAGGCACACGTGTACCTAGGATCTGGGGCTGGCTCAGGCTAGGGGTGGATTGTGGCACCCAGACTCTGTCTCTCTCAGTCACAGAAGAAAGGAAGGAAGGAAGGAAGGAAGGAAGGAAGGGAGGGAGGGAGGAAGGAAGGAAGGAGGGAGGGAGGGAGGGGAGGGAGGGAAGGGAGGAAGGGAGGAAGGGAGGAAGAAAAACTTAGAAGCAATCATTAGTCTGGCTCTCTAGATCAGGGCCACCTCTCAAGAGTGTGGCATCCTGGGTAAATAATCTTTGCAGAGCCCTGTGTATAAAAAACAATTTGACTTAAAATGTTTTAAGAATTCCTAGGCCTATATGAGGTAGAGTGATTTATTGGTGAAGATCTAAAATAAGTAGAAAGGGACTTGCTTATTTTCTTACTGGCCACTCAAGGCAGGTGATGAGTTTTATTTGTTTGTTTGTTTGGCCAGGAAGTACAATCACAAGAGAGAGACAGTGAGACAGAGAAAGAGAGAACAGGGGGGAGAAATCACCTGACACTGGCCCCCCTTGATCCTCTCTCCTCCATCTCTCCCTCCTGCCAGAATGTTGGGCATGCACACGGTTTTTCAAGTCACCCGGGCAAGGGTCCAGACATGTTGGCCATGTGGGATTTAGTTCCCTCGAGCACCAGGCTGCAGAGCCACCCGGTGACGAGTTGTGGCAGTGCCCGGGAACCCTCCTTCCTCGGATCTGAAAACATTTTGTTGTGTTCTTTTAATGGTGACAGCTCACTATTTTATGTTAGGAGAATGAATCCCCCGTTTCTTATTTTTATTCTTGACCTTCAGAAATTGCTGCCAGTTCCTGACCTAACCTGAGTTCACAAATTATCTTATTTTTCTCCTTTTTCTTACTGAGTGAAAAAAGCAGCCATGCTATTACGACTCTCAACGCAAGGCTCCTTGGACTCCTTATTGACACGAGGTGTTCTTGTTTCCACCATTCCCAAACATTATTTACACGGCAGGTTTTCCAAAGTTCATGGCAAATGCACACTGCGAAAAACTATGCCTAGATTTTTTTTTTTTTTTTTTTTTTGCACCAAAATAAACTTGGGCTTACTTCCACTTTCCCACAAACTTTCGGAAGTGCTCTGTGCTATGCTGGTGACGGCATCGCCCGTGGCCCTCGCTCAGCCCTAAGCCCATAAAGACTGTTTTCTGATGACTCTCAGTTGTTACACCTGCATGGTGACAGCTACAATGCAAGTCTGACCCCGAGTTTGTGGGAACATGTTGGTGCTAACACACTGTCTGGTCACGTTGAATTTACATTCAGAGCTCAACATGAAAATGCAGAACAGCACGTCTTTATGCATGCCTTCTCTGTGTCCTTGTGACCATCAGCTCATCTCCCTGGTGAACCCTCTCAATGCTGACCACACCCAGCCTCCCAGACACCACCGCCACCGGGAAAACAGGAGAGGGGCCTGTGGGCCAAACAGGAACACTGCCCTGTGTATGTGAGGAATGCTGCCCTCCTCCAGCATGAACCAGCTTGAAAGAGCTGCTATCACTGTGACCAGAGACAGGCCGTGACTCAGAGGGGCTTATCAGCCTTTAGTGACAGGCACAATCCAATCAATGTAACTTGAGGTCCCATTCCTGCAATTAGGATGAACTAGTCTCTGAATAAAATAGCCTCATGAATCCATACAATATATTTAAATAAAGAAAATATGAAGAATAGAGGTGGAAATCAATTTTTATTTCATAATTTCATGAAAAACTATGTAGTCGGATGTTATTTTTCCAGACACATCTACTAATGGAGTACTGAACTACAGTGAAACCATTTTTTAAGGAATTATTTAATTTTATTTATTATTATTTTATTATTATTATTTTTTTAATTTGACCAGAGAAAGAGAATGAAAGTGAGAAAGCAAGCTGCCAGGTCTGGGACTCAAATGCTGGTTGGCCAATGTGGGAGTCCAGCACCCCAACCACAGCGCCACCTGCCGGCCCCCAGCGTTTGCATCTGTCTATCTGGAACGCTGACCACTTGACTTCTGCAGGCTCGTTTTCCCACCACCACACAGCCCTGCCCTTGAATAAGCACCACACAGTGATCTGGTTTCACCTTCCGGATTGACTGACTCATGGCTGATGATCGTGACGGCAGCTGCTGATGTCCTGGGTCAGCCTGACCTGTTTAACTATCTGTAAACCTAGCATGATAATGTTATCTTGCAGGATTGCATGCAGCATGGTTACAAAAGGTGTCTGGAAAAATGTCAGATGGAGTCTAAGTTTTCAAGGAAGCCGGTTGTTTTCCCTCAGTTTCTAACACCCGTGCTGAACTATGAGAGC